CCTGTAGACTCACCTGTAGACTCCCCTGTAGACTCACCTGTAGACCCCCCTGTAGACTCCCCTGTAGACTCACCTGTAGACTCACCTGTAGACTCACCTGTAGACTCCCCTGTGAGCACCTGACTACCTGAGCGATGCTGTGGAGACTAAACATCAGCCAGCATCTGTTTTCTGAACATGAGAGAACGTGAAGCTGACGTGAGGATTAGATGAAAACTGAGCGTTGGGTTGTTCTGATCCAGACCGACGTCGGTAAAACGTTCTCAGAGAACAATGTCCAGATGTGAGACCTTGTGTCTTTAAGGTCCTCAGTGCAGCGCCTGCTGACAGCCAAACCTCAGGTTGCTTCACAATCAGATGCGACTCTGCTTCATGCTGTTGTTCTAGTTTCCAACCTTCTGCTTCAGTTGTGGGCTATCGTGATAATATCTTCAGTTTCCGTCAGTGAGCTGCTCGTTTGGTGTTTGTGGGCAGCAGCCTGCAGGGCGACGAGCAGCAGCAGCAGCAGCAGCTGCTGCATGTTTCTGACAGGAAACAGGTTTTGTGAGCTGCAGGTCTGAGCATGCTCAGACTGGTCCGACCACTCAGCTGCCACAGTTGAAACCAAACTGCTGCTGGATTCTCTGAGCTCTGCAGCTGTTGGACATCTCTCTGTGAGGAGGGATCTGACTGCTAACCCTAACCCTCGACTCACTTCACAATGTGCCGAACAGCTGAGTCACTTCATCAGAACCAGCAGATCCGACTGAAGCTTCTGTAAAGTTCAGTTTGTGTTTCAGCTTTAAAAGGCTCAGAAATGATGGAAAAAGTCCATTAAAGTGATCAGTCTGGACCCTCCTCTGTGGACTTCTAGGACCTGGACCTCTGGAACATTCACAGTCTGAAGGTAGAACTCTGGTCAGTGGATAAAGGTGCTGCAGATACAGAACCAGGTGTTCTGAGGAGGTTCTGGTGGGTTTTGTTCATTGAGAGTCTCCATTAACTGATGACTTCATGTTGCTGTTAGAAACCTCCTGAAACGACGGTTTGAACTTTAACACCGCGATGAGCTTTTTATAAAATGATCTTCTGACCTCTCCTGTTACCTCCATCAGTTCCCTCCACGTTCTGCACAGATCCAGCCATGAGGGGGCGCTCTCCTCTGCTCCATCTCCTTGTCGCCGTCTTCATCCTGTCAGTCTGCAGAGCAGCAGCAGAGCTCAGGATCTGCTCGTACAACGTGCAGAACTTCAACCTGCAGAAGGCCTCCAACTACAGACTGATCCACACTCTGACCCGGGTAAGTTCTGCTCAGCAGAACACGTTCTGGTTCTGTTCTGTCAGTGTGTCTGTCAGCAGCTGGTTGGACTTCCATGGTCCAACTGGAGCTCGTCTGTAAACTCAGAGATCAGAGTTCTGAAGAAGAGAAGAGCTGCAGGAAAGTCTGAACTCAATCAGATGTTTCTGAACATTAAACCAGAACCAGGTTCTGGTCATGTGTTTGAAGCTCCACTTTAGCTGAAGTCTGCTGTGGATGGTGCGTCTTGTGTCGGTGCTGACGGTCCGTCTACCTGTCCAGGTGCTGGGTCGCTGCGACGTCAGCCTCCTGCAGCACGTCGTGGACTCGGGCGGTGAAGCCATCAACAAGCTGCTGGCGGCGCTGAACAGGTAACCCAGAACCCGGCAGCTGCTGTTTGCTCTGAGCGTGTCTGGATGCGTCTGTTGTAGGAACACGAGTGTCAGACATCCCATAATGTCCATGTTAGACGTGGTGCAGTGACTGTGTGTCTGTCTGCCTCCTACAGGGGAACCGACAGGTAGGGTGTTCTCTATGAGCATGTGACCTCCGTCTGATCACACCTTAATCACCCTAATCAGCCGTATTGATCCTCTGCACTAATCCGGCGACACTTTATGACGGAGAGTCTCTGTGAAGAGTCCGATTAGAGCAGCAGCTCAGAGGAACACAATCTGTCCAATGAACAAACATGAACTTGGAACCAAACATGTTCAACTTCCAGAACGGCTCCATCACACGTTGAACACTGGACCAGCCAACACGTTTGTAGATGTTCAACTCTGGAACACGCCGTCTCCACATCCTGCAGATGCTGAACTATCTACAGTCTACAAACTCTACAGGAGGCTCAACGAAGAAATCACCAAAATGACACATTTACCAGCTACAAAAAAAATCCTCCTCCAACAACTGGCTCCTCTGTTCTCTGCTTCTGCGTTCATTTATTGATCCAGTAGGTTGGATTTTCCTCCCTGATCATTAACCCAAAGGAAAGTCCAACCGACTGCATCAATAAATGACCGCAGAACCAGAGAACAGAGGAGCCAGTTGTTGGAGATTCATTCAGCTGATGGTGGAACATCTTTCTACAGCTGATGAGCAGAGAGGAGAAGTCTGGAGACATGGAGATAGTTCAGCATCTGCAGGACGAGGAGACCACATGAGCTCCAGGGTTGGAAACATGTTTTGAACCTGTGATGGACGTGTTCTGGCAGCTTCAGTCTTTATTGAGCTTCATGTCTAAACCGCCTCAGTCACCAGATTCACCAGAATAAAGTGTTGCCTTCATGACATCCAGCAGCTGAAGTGAGTTCTGTTGGAACTGATGCAGCAGCTCTGACAGAACGCAGCTCAACTCATTGACACGCCATCAGTTCAGTTCACTGAAGTCGCTCCATTACAAGAGAAATCCAGTTCAGTTCAGTTTTGCTGATGTAGCGCAGCTCACAGCATCCTCCATCCCACAGCCTGAACACGGTCAGGTGCGAAATGAAAAACACTTTTTAGGTTTTAGCATCAAATAAAGTCCCAAAAGTCAAACTGATACCCAGATGGGTCCTTTCAGAGTCCTGTGCTATACGATTGGACTAAAGTAAAGATTTAATGTTGCAGCTGGAGCTAGTTTAAACCCTTGACATCGTGCTCCATTAGATCTATTACAATAACAGACGTTGTACTTCTACTTCAGTATATTTTTTTAAAGAGAAAGTAGGAATACATGGAAATACTGAATACATAAAATCTGTACTCGAGTACAGGCCTTGAGTAAATGTACTTTCCACCACTGTGTATTTCAGTAGACCCGGTGCTCAGACTTTATTCACTTCTCTTATTAAGACGCTCTTCTGTCTGCATACTGAACTAAACACCTTTTCTTCTCACAAAGCTTTTTTGTCATTGGTCCAAACGGCAGAACGTACGAACACTCGGGTCACCATGTTCAGTCGTAAAGTGTTTCTGAGAAAGAGCAGAAGTCGGTAGGCTCCGTATAAAACATTTATATTGCAAAGCTGTGGGGTTCTTTGGCTGAAATGTGTCATATTCTTTAATGTGGGACTGGAAAGTGCCTAGAACGGTTGGAGGACCCAGTACGGAGCTCTGGGGAACACCACACCAGGAAAACTGCTGTAAAGCCTCATTTTTACTGCACAGAACAACTCAGCTCAACTTTCCTCTGTTCTGTCAGCAGCTGCTTCTCTTACTGCGTCCACTGCAGATGGTTTCTCCTCAAAGAGCTTCTTTCAGATCAGCTCCTCCTGCTCAGACTCGCTGAGACGTCGTATCGATGATGATAATTGTAACCAGACATTGAGGAGGCTGCTGCCGTTCATCTTGAATGTAGTGATTCTCACAGCGACGCTGCACGAAGCTGCTCATCTTTAATGCGACGAACACAGAAGAACCGAAGATAAACTCTGGGTCGAGTGAAGGAGACGGGCTTGATGTTCTGTGATGGTTCTCATCAACGTCATTTAAAAACCACAGCAGAACTTACTTGAAGATCTAAACAGTTCCAGATATCAGAAGACATTTCTGTTCCTGGATCTTGGAACATATAAAAACAACAGCTCATCTCAGTTGGAACCTTGATGGAGGTGGTACCACCAGAGCACCAGGTCCGGTCCACCACAGAGACCCCGGCAGAGCCCAGTCGACCTGGGTTGAGTTGGACTGTGAAGCAGCAGACACGTCCTGAGGACCAGCCGCTGTGACTCTCAACACAGTGATCTTTGGTAGAATCATATTTCGTCCCCAAACCTCAAGTTTCGTTTGATTGTTGCTGATTTTCAGAGAAGCCATTCGTCCACGAACCTGGTTTCTGTTAAACGGACAGTGTTGTCTGGTCTTCAGCTTCATTGTTCCAGTTTGTTCTGTTTCATTAAAGGTTCTACATTAAAGTCTCTGCAGGTTTATGTCACCACAGCTCCTCTTTTATTTTATTCTGACGGCACCTGACCACTTCCTGTCTGAATCATCAGTTTTTAGTCAGAGTTCGGTGACGTGCTGCAGTCACATTCATGCTCCTGTCCTGAACCTTCTGAGGCTACAGCTTCAGCTTGTTCTACATATTAAATGAAACATGCGGCTGAAGAACAAAACACTCGTCTGGCTGAACTGAGCTTGACCCGATGAGCCGACCTGCTGCTGCTGCTCGTCTCTGGTGGCGTCTAACCCGAGTCATCTGTGTTACTGCTGCTTCGTTAGCCGTCAGCTAACTGCTAACATGCAGGATTTCTCCTGATTTAACAAATGCATGTCCACTGGTTTCCTTAAATCACTAATCCGCATACTGTGATTACTGTAATCTGATTACTGTTTGTCTAAATGCATGTGTGGATCTGTGGGGAACGTTCAGGTGATTCTGAGGGAACCTGAGGCTAATATGGGAGCTAACAGAGCGCTGCCCAGTGGTGGAACACGACTGTAAACGACTACAAGCAGAAGTCCTGCCTTTCAAACATACTGGGGTAAAAGTACACAAGTGTTGTCGGCTAAATGTGATTTTAACAGCAGTTAGGTTTCCATCTAAAGAACTCATTTGAACAAAATTTCTGGAAAAAAAGGAAAAGCTAGTGAATGCATCACTGTGGGTGTCTGGCTGCGTCGTATTTCCAGTTAAAGAGGCTGCAACAAACAACAAATGGCAGTAAAAGCTCAAATTCTAACGTTTTTTGCAGACATTTTCAGATTAGGGATTGTCTTTTAATGTGTACGACGTAAATGTGGATAAAATCTTCACCTTCAATCCTCACAGCTTCAGTAAAAAGAACTAGACTTGTTTTTTAGTTCTTGAAGATGTTCCACAGTCCTCCACGGTCCTCGGTTCTAACTGCCTGGTGGGGATCTAGATTTAGTCACCCCCCAGTCAGGACTTGTGACTCGTCACTGACCCAAGACGTACAGGTCTTAAGGTCTGAACTG